ACTTTCTTACCTCTTGGCATATTAAATGATAACAGGTATATAAAGAACTCCATGGAATGGTCTGTGACACATCCCTGCCCCAACATTCAGGGGGAAAAAATGGCTTTGCTTAGCATTGTTACATCTTGGATATTGTAAGGGGAATGCTAACAGTGAGCCTTGTGTAGGACAATGAACATGCTAGTCTATTCTGTGGAAGGCTGAATTCATTTCTTTGGTGATAGACAATTATGTCTTCAGCTACTGATGGGTTCCTTGATACCAAGCAAGCATTTCTAAAGGAGTGTGTTCATCCCATAAACACTCCTGGGACATAAACTCCTTTCAGTCACCTGGCAGGGACTTAAGCCTGTCCTCTGCCCTCCTGGGACTTAGTCAAAGTCACTGCAGTCTCAGGTAGGGGATCATCAGAAGGAGCGGTGTCCCAAAACCTTCTCAGATGAAGAGCTGAGGAAGCTCAAAAATGCGCCTTATCCAAGCAGAGATCATCAAAGGCAGACCCATCTCCCCTCTTCCTACAGGCAAATGTCTTCCTCCTCCAGGATCTCATTGCCACAGACAGGTACCACAGTGTGCTCGTTGTCCCGGCTGAGGATCTAGGAGAGCTGGTGGTGTCTGCTGTTCTTTTCCTGGCTTCCTGTCACCAAGTGGCCACCAAGCTCCTTGCTTCCTCGGCTTTCCTCACAGTCTTCCCTGAAGCTCTTCATCCTTCTAAGTGCTAAGAGTCCCCAGACTCCTTGCTTCAGCATCTGCTGTAGGTCATGTTAGAACACAGTGGGCACAACCCAACACCAGAGTTTCTTCTAATGCACAGCACCTGCCACCGATGCCACGCCCCCCTCCATCTTCCTAGCCCAGCTTCCCTTCCAGTCCCTGCTGTGCTGGGCCAGATCTCCAGTCTTCATCCCTGCTAGTCAAGGGCTCTGCCAGTGAGCTTCTTGGCCCCAGCCTCTAATCTTCATTCTTCTTCACGTTCTCCACCCTTATCTCAGAAGCAATGTAAATTAAAGCAAATCTTTTCTGATGTCAGATTCCCACAGAGTTAGCATCAGGATGCCTCGAACGGTCTGCCGTGCTTTCCTTTACCTGGCTCCGTCTATTCGCCAGCTACCCACGCCCTTGCTCATCCCACACTGGTTGCTCTAAATCCTTCCTGAGGCTATGGTAAAAGACTCTGAGCAAAAACAAGTCAGGGAGGAAAAGGCTTATTTGACTTAGACATCCACATCCCGGTTCATCATTAAGGAAACGCTACATCATTCCCGGGCAGGCTCACAGGCTGTGGTTGGCTAGCTTTCCTGTATGCTTCAGGATCACCTATGGATGGCAGTGCTGGTTCAGTTGGTAATGGAGGTGCTCTTCCACAGATGTGCTTGCTACTGCTCTCAGAGGACTCCAGGCTGTGTCAAATGGTAGTTAAGGCTAATGATGACGAGACTCACCAGTTGTACAGAGAATTCTCATGGCTTCTTGGATTTGTACCATTTGTGTTTCCTTTGCTTCCCACTACAACCACAATGCCCCCTCTCACCCTTTTTTTCCATTTTTCAAGACAGGGTTTCTCTGTATTGCTTTAGAGCCTGTTCTGGAACTCGATCTGTGGACCAGTCTGGTCTCAAACTCACAGAGATCCACCTGCTTCTGCCTCCCAAGTGCTGGGATTAAAGGTGTGCGCGACCAACATCCGGCTTCACAATGGCCCTTTTATTTATTTATTTTTTTAAGCATTAATCTGTCCACACCACAGAGGATACTCCTAGGGTGGGCTGGACACATCACCTGTTACCTTCCATCCATGGTCTATCCCTGGGTCTAACCTTTCCTCTGGTGTAGCTCACCTCCAGTACTCTGAACTTCTTGAGAGAGAAGACCCAATATTTTTTTTCTTTGTCTACACCAAGTGGTGTATTGCCTGACACTGAGTTGGAGACCATGGATTTAAAGAAAAGTGGGACCCAGAAAGTCAAGCTGGAAGAGGGAGACATTATAGCTGGACGGAATGAAGGGAGGACTTGAAAATGTTGAGGAAAAGCCAAATATTCCAGAAGGAGGAAGCTTGTTCCTAAGTTCCCTCCTGGTCAGGCTTTGGTAAAGATATTGGTATGAGCAAGGACTAGGGAGGGGCCTGGTTTGATGGGATACAGACAGAATTGTCAGCTGAGCCAGAAGGTCCCAGGATGCATCAGGGTGGACTGAGGGTAAACTAGACGGGACTCTAGAGTGTGGTTCTGGATCTGGTAGGCCTGGAAACACCACCAGGATGCTCTTTAGTCTTTCTGCCCACTGTGCTTATTTATGTGCTTATCTCCTGCGCAAGAGAGTAGGCAGTGACTGGTGAGTGGGCGCATGGGGCCCTGTATGGCCAGTGCACGCTTTGGTGACTTTAGGTAGTGCCGCGGCTGCCCTGATGGCATCAATGCAAGTGCAATCAAGGCAAGAGAAAAGGCAGACTTCAGGTGACGGCAAGAGCGTTGGGAATGGAACAGCAGGAGCTCAGGAAGCCACTGTGTGTCACTAGAAATGAGTCAAGTGTTAGCATTTGGGAAGGTCAAATGATGCTTGAACAAGGAGTGTTCAGCCTGTGCATACGGACACAAGTGATTGTACTGTTTTGGGAACAGTGACGAATATGTAAGGGAAGAATTTCTCTGCCCTCATCCCACTAATATAGTGAACATGGGCGCTGGCGTCTTGGGTATGTTTAAGGATATGTATAGGAAGAGTTCTACACTGCCACTGCTAATCCATTTTTCCTTGCGAAACAGACAGCTTTATGACTATTCTGGGCCTGTCCATCTATTATCTTCTGTCATTAGATGCAACACATTGGCATGTGTCTTGAGAGGATGCTAGAGGAAGGAGCTAGTATCTTCCAGTTTGCTTCTTCAATGCTATGGGCCATTCTTATATGACGTTTACGCACACAGAGAACTATCTGCATTAAGATAATCTAGAGATGAAAGCATCAGTCATCTTTATCTTAAACACACACATAGGCGGGGGCTGGAGAGATGGCTCAGTGGCTAAGAGGGCCCAGGTTCAATTCCCAGCACCTGCGTGGCAGCTCACACCTGTCTGTAACTCCAAGATCTGACTCCCTCACACAGACATGCATGCAGGAAAAACACAAATGCATGTAAAATTTAAACACACACACACACACACTCACACACACACGGGTTCTTTTTTCTGAGCATTCATCCTCGGAGACAAATTAGCAATGCTCATATGCTTATGGCTATAGATGGGCAATCCATCACAACTCAGAATCAACAATGTGCCCAACCAGGAAGCTTGACTACCAGAAGCAAGGGCATGCAGCAGGTGCTTAGAAGAGAAACTGAAGATAAATAGGATCCGATTTCTATTTACACTCAAGCCCAAGGAAGGACCAGGGCGTTCTTCACCATGCTGTCCCCAGAGTCTCCCAGCTAACAAAAATTCCAGATTTTGGAGCAGAGTCATTTAACTATTAAATTTAACTTGATTTCTCTGATTATTAATTTCTCTAATTATTGATTTATTTACAATTTCCCCAGTTATTGTAAGTTAGCACGTTTGATTGTCTGGGTCTATACAGGAGTGTGTGCTTGCTCCTTTGTAGAATAATAAATTCTTCACATGGGTAATGATCAAGTGTATGCACGTGGGACAGCCCCTATGTTAGAGCCTGAGAACAGGGTAGCCCAGGGCTGGTTATGTTCGAGAACACCAGAAGGTCTAGATTCTCCGGTTACTGTTATGGCTACCGTGCTTAACGTGTGAATGGCCATTTCTGTTTCCACTTTTCAACTTCCTCTGGTTCATGGAATCTGAGATACTGCATCTCTGACATTCACCTACAGTAGCAGCATTCAAAATGCATTTAAGAAAAATCACCATATCCATTTCGCTGGGGCCAACTGGAAATTCTAGAGAAAGAATTCAGGGTGTAAGGGAGGCCTAAGAATGCCTGGAATTTCTAACACATTTCACTAAATGTTTTCTGTGTCATGACGTGTCCTAGGAGACCATAAAAGTCAACTTAGATGAATGTAAAATGCGTTTTGCCTTACTGATAACGGCAAATAAATAATTCACATGGCCACCCACCAAAAGATTCTAAGACTTCCAGAGGCCTGTGAGTTCCCGATGAAATATGTTCCTTATAAATTTGTATAATCAAAGAGAAAAACAAAAATAATAAGAGGTGCCTATTTTATTTCCATTTGAAATGCTACAACACTAGCTTGAACTATTTCTGTATTCTCAATAATGTCACAGAAATATAATAAAATGATTAATGCTTTTTCCTGGTGTGACTTGAAACAAGGCAATTAAAGGTATTCCCTGCCCTGCATTTTCAATACTGCAAATGTTCACTTTTCCAACGGAAATGACTTAATCTGTGGGGGAGGAGATGACTCAGTGGGCAGAAGTACTAACTACACTGGTAAGGACTTGAGGTCGAGGGTCCAGACCCTATGTAAAAGCTGTGTATATAGCATCAGCACCCATAAATCCCCAGGATCCTGGGGTAAAATGGGAGGTGTCTTAAAGCTCACAGGCCATACACAGCTTGGCATACACAGAGGAAAAATGGCCAAGAAATCCTTCCTTTAACAAGGTAAGGACTCACACTCAAGGTTGTACTCTCTCTGTTTCTCTCTGTGTGTGTGTGTGTGTGTGTGTGTGTGTGTGTGTGTGTGTATCTGTGTGTGTCTATCTGTCTGTCTGTTTCTCATGTGCGCACGTGCCATACACATAAACACTTATCAGTTGCATAGTTGTCCTAGCAATAATCAACTGAATTGGTTACAGCGCTACCAGTCTGTGGGGAAATCTTATTTCTTCATGACAGAACCTTATGAGGGAGCTGACGCTTTGTAACAAGCTCAGCTGTTTGGTCCTGGACCAGAAGAAATGAGTGGGGATGGAAGGGGGAGGCCAGATGACTTTTAGCTTACTGTGGTTTGGGAAGTTAGTTCCTGCAGGCGCTAACCCTGTCCTTCTTTTGATAGATGGAACTGATTAAGAATATCAGCACCGCCGAACAGCCCTATTTATTCACGAGACATGTTCACTTCCTCAACTTCTCAAGGTGAGTCGCTCTCCAGCTTTGTGCTCATTTCCTGTCTTCAGAATCTTTACGGTCCATCTGAGGAGCAAGCAACCCCTTAACCATCTGCCTGATTGACAGCCCAGAGCCATCACCCTGGAAAGACAAAGATGTGGCCAATCCAGTTAGCTTTGCTACAGAGAAATCAAAGTTTGAAACATTTCTTCCTAGAACACCACCTGAAATAGTCTAAAAGCATGGAATTATTTTTGAAGAGAAGACTTCTAATGGCGTAGTACTTGAACATGGGGAAAATCTGATTTTTGTATTGAAACAAAGAGTCAAATAGTGAGAATTTTGCCATCTGTTTTTCTGCATTGTGACCCTGAATAGCCCTCTAGGGACTCCACCAGTAGTAGGGGAATGGGTGTTTTTTTTCTGCTCCAAAGAGCTCATCCAACATCCAACTAACTTTTGTTGTTTTTTAAACTAATCATCCCAAGTCTTTCCTACTTGACAGTAGTGAGATACTTTTTATCTGCTTGTTTGCTTGTTTGGCTTCTGTACCCTTTTGTAGTAAGAGTATAGATTTTTCAAATTGAAGTTTTGGAGACTTCTCTTCATTAAATTGAAACTTCAAGTTCTGCGTGTCCTTCCTCTCAGTGGTCCTTGAACATCTGCTACAGTGTCGTTGCTCCTTGCACTAGTGGCCCTTAGATCCCTGCCATGCCTACTGGCTCTGCCATGTACTCATGTGGTGGTATCCATTAGCCAGTAGCCCCCTCCCCCCGGGTCCAGAGACGGGTCTGCTGACAAGCCCAGGGTTCCCGAGTCCACTGCCAGCAATCTAACAGCAGTGTCTCAACTTCAGGATAACAGTTCCATCAAACGATCCAAAGAGTTCACCAGGGTGGTTCATCCACATGCAGGGGTACCAGCTGTCAGCTGGTGCTGGCCCGATTGCTGCTGTGGGCTGGCACCTCAGGAGGCTGGCTGTGGAGAAGCTCTGATGCCCAGCCTGATGCCTGAGGACCCACTGGGCTTGGGGCAGGTTTTAGCCTTCAGAGCACTTCCCTTCTGCTCAAGAGGTCCTACACCATTAAGGGTAAAGGAGAAGTGCAATTCAGCAAAGGCCCATTATTAAGCAGAGGAGTTTCCCAGGCCTGCTTGACAAGCCAGAGTTCTATGGGACAGGAAATAGGATGCTTAAAATGGTCAACAGTAACAGGACCAGGTGCTGCCCCCCCCCCCACTGCTTTTCAACATGGCTCATTGCTGGGTTGGCTGGTGTGTGCGCCCTGCTTCCCTCCAGAAGCCATGTCATTCGTCATAACGAGGCCACTGGGATTTGACGGATGTTCTGGTCCCTGTGTTTGATGGTTTGTGAAGAGAGAAACCTCTGGTTTAGGCTCTTCTAGTGACTCCCTTCTGTGCCCTTGACACGTCCAAGCTTCAGTCATTAACTCCTCTTCCTTTCTAGGTTAGAATTTTTACATCCAACCTGCCGTACAACACGTTTTAATAATGATCCCAGGCCAGTTCAAAACTCTAATGAGAAGCCAAAACCCGTATCTTAATTGGATCAGCTGCGCCCGGCATGGTGGCTGTATTTTATCTTAGCTTCTACCATCAAATACAGGAGTGGAATCTTGATTGCTTTAATTCTGCATGTGAAAAAAAAAAAAAGCCTTTTAGAAGATACCACATCTGCAGAAAATGGTGGAGCCCTGGCTGTCTAGACCCCTAAGCTTGCCTTCCTACTACACAGGATGAGGGAAAGCCATGTGTCCTTTTGGGAAGTCTATCTTATTTCTCCATCTTCAAAACAGGGGCAGCTCCTTCTCCCTCCCACCTGGGCCGGATGTTTGGACCATGAGGAAATGCCCTTTAAGAGAGGGATGGTGCAGGAACTCACACTGGCTCCGTAATGCATCGGTGTGGCAGTCCTGGGCTGTTTGGTCCATAGTGATCCTCCCAGCAGGAGCAGGCAGACTCACTGACAAGCTGTCTCCTCTCTCTCCCTTCTGCTCACCTCAGAGTGCATTGGCGAAGCACCCTCCCTCAGCCTTCGCTGTGCCATGCTAGCTGGGACTTCAGCAGTGAACTCAGAACGTTCCTCTTGTCTTTGGAATGATCCTTCCGCTGCAGAAGTGTGAAGTCAAGTGTGTTGGATGCAGCGGGGGGGGGGGGGGGGGGAATCACAGGGCTAACCCCAAGGGAGACAGAGGGCAGCAGGCTCCCCTGGTTCTGCTGAGGTTTGAGAGACAGGGCATTCCCAGTCCACAGCAGCAGGAATGAAGGCAGGCCAGAGGAGAGCTGGAGGGACGCACTAAGCATAGAGTAGAGGAGGGAGTGACTGAAGAGGCTGAGCCTGCCCCTGTGGGACCCATCATCCCCTCTGTTTTTCGCATCCTATAGCGCAGGGCCAGGGCCTTAGCTATTAGACTTGCATAAACACGAGAATGACCAGATGAACTTGAGTACACTGTTAAACTCGTGGAACCAGGGGGCTAAGAATCAGCTATTCCTCTTTTTCAAGGGTGTATTTTTATTTATGGACATCTTTAGTGTAAGTAACAAACTGTGACCATACTGAGAAAGCCCCCCCCCCAAACAAAAACCCACAAAGAGTAAGGAAAACAGCTAAGTTGGGAATAGTTATCTTTGAGATCTGAGCTCTCTATTTTGAATTCTAAGCATAGATACTATTGAGCTGTTCCCAAGAAACCTGCCCCTATAACCGTGAACACTTCTCATGGGAGAAACCAGGCGGAGAGACCAGACCAGAATAATGTCATTTGTTGATATTTCTAAATGTTTACGCATCATTAACTTGTAGCAATATCCTTGCTGCTGAACGAACTATCAAAATCAGGCTGGACCCTGCTCCCCTCCCCCTTCCATCCTTTTTTTTTTTTTTTTTTTTTTTTTTCTCACACACATGTCGTGAGGTCTTGAAGGACCTGATTATAGAAAGTTTTGGTTTCAGTTTGTTTTTGCCATTTATCTTTTTCGGTTAAGAATGGCATTCTTATCTGACACGTAGGCAAGAATTGCAATGTAGAATACTGCCCCGTGAGCTCTTGGCTGTTCACGAGTTAGCTGGCGTCATGTATCCATTGCTTCAACTCCTCTCTTGCTGTTGGTACATTTTCCTCTGAGTCCAAAGGAGCCCTTCAGCCGTTTGCTGTTCTGTTCAGCCCACCAATCAGGTGTTTCTGCAGCTGCTATGGCGACAGCTTCCTACCAGAGCCCTGACAGCTCAGCAGAGAGCTCAGGGTTGGTCTGGGTTTGGAGGGTTTTTCCTAGGGTGTTCTTTGATATCTATTTTGAACCCCTTGGAAATGTGTGCCAGACAAACGTTTATTCCTGTGCATGATGGGAGAACTGAGTCCAAGCCATCTGTCTTGGCCTGGAAGATGCTGCTCCATGTTGGGATAACGAAGACCGGCCTTTCATGTTTGTGTGTTGGAACTTCGTATGCCTTTCACCTGTTGTTGAAGTAACTTTAGAGTGCCCATGCCCGGGTGTGTGTGTGTGTGTGTGTGTGTGTGTGTGTGTTTTAATCTCAGTTCTTCAACATCTGTAGAAACACTCTGAAATGGCAACGAGCTCAGTTCAGATTATCTCTTCTGACTCCCCCCACACACAAGTTGTTATTTGTCTTCAAAGCTTTGTGGGAACCAGGGGATAATATTTTGTCCCAATCTAGAGTTTCTCTCAGCCCTCAGTCATGTTCTCCTGGATGTGGCAACTCTCTAAAATACACTAGAACTTTAGGCCATTGAAGTGGTCATGAAAACCAGTAGGGGGGTGGGTGGGGGGGGCCTCTCTTCTAAAAATGTTTCCTTTTTGGTTTTTGTTGTTGTTTTGTTTTTTGATGGGGTTTCTCAGTGTAGCCCTGGCTGTCCTGCAAATAGTTCTGTACACCAAGCTGGCCTTGAACTCACAGAGATCAGCCTGCCTCTGCCTCTCGAGTGCTGGGATTGAAAGCATGTGCCTGGCTTCCTTCACCTTTCTTTAGTCCCTTGTCACCCAGGGTTCTCCCTGACATCTCCAACTGTTGCTCCTGCTTCCGTTTCCTCAGTGGGAGCCCCCAGTGCCAACCCTGACATTTGTAAGAAAGAAAGTTAGAAAGAGAATGAATAGACAAAGGCACAGCCTCAGGGAGGCTACTGTGGTGCCAGCTGAGGCATCTGACACATCCTCCAGTGGAGTCTGATTACCATGGGAACAGAGCTTGACAGCAGCCGTCCTTTGCAGGCATCCTTTTAAACGGAGCAAGCCAGATCCCAGCGCTTCCACGACTCGCTTTAGTTTCCGAGAATCTCTTCTGGATGTTGACTTTGCTCTGACCGTCTTTTGATTCTGCCCCCTTTAATGATGTCCCAGAAGCTTCCCCTTGCAAAATAAAAATTAAAAAAAAAATGGATGCAGGGTGTTTAACAATGTCTCCACCTACTTACACAGATAGGAGTGGAGTTCAAGGTGAGAGCTTTATTGTGAGCTCGCCCTATTTAGCACTGCTGGGTTTGACTTCCTCGGGTAGCAGTCTTCCTCAAACCTACAGGGAGCAGGTCTCTGTTGCCATGAGCGCAGCCATAATGGTGGCCCATCAAGGGCAAGTGTAGTGTGAGTTTTCCTTCATAGGTTTTTTATTTGGCTTCTTTTTTTTTTCTCATCAATTCATCTTTCTCTGTGATCAGGAACCCCGATGCCATTGGCCCAGTCACACTCCTTTTCTTTCCTTCAGGCCATTTTCCTCAGCTTCCCACAGCAAGTGTCGGCTTCCATTTCTGTCCCCTCAGTGCAAGCCGGAGAGCAAAGTCTACCGGTATGCATAGCCAACCTCGACATCTCCGAGCCTGTATCTTTACACCCTGTGAGGTGCTGAGTATTGGTTTACATGGTTGAGATGTTCTGCTGGTCACGTTGGTGATTATTCCTTGCACAACGATAATTACACCACTGAGGTCTGTAAATTCACTGTATGTTTCTCATCTTCTTGTTCCCTAGAATTATTACTGCGGTGTCTGTTTATCATCATTATCAACTCAATTTGTTTAGAGGATGCTAAATCCAGGGTTTGCATTTATGCGGGCTAGCTGGTGAAAGGCACAGATAGGACTATAGTTAGCCATCTGTCCTGTAGCAAAGATGCCCCCTTGCTTACATCCAAGAATGGACAAGATTCATTTTAACAGGGCTAACCTCACTTAGTTGCAACACATCTTTCAGTATGATAGTACCGGGGAATCCAGAATGGCATGTTTGTGCCCTGGGGCCTGAGATTCACTATTGGAGAGACCTTCCTTTGTGTTCTTTTAGACTCTTCTTGCTTGTGTGTATGCGTGTGTATGGACACGTGTGTGTGCGTGTGTGTGTGTGTGTGTGTGTGTGTGTGCGTGTGTGTGTGTGTGTGTGTGTGTGTGTGTGAGCGCGCGCCCGCGCGCGCGCGCGCGCATGCACACATGCGGATGATAACCTTGAGTATCATTTCTCAGGCACCTTTTGTTAGAGACAGGGTCTCTCTGGCCTGGAGCTTCAAAGCATAGGCTAAGCCAGCTGGCCAGTGAGTTCCTGGGTCCTCCTTTCCCTACCTCTCATTCCACCATTGCTGGAATTACGAGCACATCCCTCCATGCCCAGCTTTTACACTGGGACCAAATTCAGCTCCTCTTGGAAAGCAAGTGCTTTACTGACCAAGCCGTGTACCCGGTCTTTGGTGTCTCTGACTCAATCTCTCTAAAAATGCAAATACCCTGGGCTCAACCATGTATGAATTAATGCACAAAAACATATTGGTGGCTTGTTATCTCTACTTTGCTCCAGCAGTGCAAGCCCTATACTGACAGGAGCTGAACAATCAGGAGCCATGCATGAAGGTATCCCTTTCTGTAATTAGGCATCATCTGTGAAGTGTCTACTGCGTGCTTGCACTATCAGACGGCAGACTCCCTGGCCACAGGAGGCTCTCAGTCTGTTGGGAGAGACAGACATGTCAACACAACAGGAAAGCCACTGTTCAGGGACAGAGTACATTGAGATTAGTTTAGTTGCTACCGGTATATAAATCCTGGTGGACCTGAAGGCCAAGCAGGATTATAAGTCCAGGGCAGCCTTAGTTTGAGGTCATCCTGAGCTACATGAGACCTCGACTCCAAAATCCCAACACAACAGGTACTGAATTTATATGAGTATGACTCGGGCTGGATTTTCAGTGGTGAGCTGAGTCCTCCAGCAAGAGAGGTAGTCTGTCCTCGAACTCCTAAGTCTCCTGTTCGGCCTCCCCAGTGCTGGGGAATAATTCCATCACTTGAGGATGATTACCTTGATTTGTACTTCTTGTATCTGTTCATCATTGCATTTCTTAACCCTGAAACTTTCTATGGTTAAAAGTGAAGATTTTGGATCCAGATGACCTCTGTTCATCTCCTGGCATAGGCACAAATTATTTATCCTCTTTCTGCCTCGGTTTCCCCAGGCATAATGGGGATGACTCTGGCTGGTTCTTAGTCAGAGATCTTTCCTGAGTTTGCTGGGTCAAGCATTAAGAACCCGGTGAATAGTGGCTGTTCAGTGACAGTGACTGTTCCCAGTCCACTCACCTTAGAGCACCTGGCAGAGATGATGGGAATTACAATATTATAGAAGACCTGTCTTGCCACCATGGCATTCAGAATCAAGCAATGGATTGAAACAATCACCGGGGGCCACCTGTAAGCCAGTAGGTTCTGCACCAGCCACTGGGAATAGGAAGTCTAGTCCTTAGCAAAGCTGTACCTCCTGAGCAAACCGGACATTTGTACTGTCAGATAACGTGTTGGGGACAGTGCTGAGCTAAACTGGTCTCATGATGTCTTAATGGGCACATGGGTCATGTGTTTCTGCTTCCTGTATGGGAACAAAGCGCCTATTGATTTACAGTTGTCTGTTAAAGTGGATTGGAGGCACCTTAGCAAGATGGGTAATAGTTGGACCGAGTTAAACTAGAGGGAAATTTTGTCCCAGCAGGCGTATTTCCTTGCAGAAGGGATGAGTTGTAACACACTCCCTGTTTGTGTGTCCTGTGTGCTAGGTTTGGAGGAGACCAGCCCGTCTACATCAACATCATTAGAGACCCTGTCAGTAGGTTTCTATCTAACTACTTTTTCCGTCGCTTCGGAGACTGGAGAGGGGAACAGAATCACATGATCCGCACCCCCAGCATGCGGCAGGAGGAACGCTACCTGGTAAGTTCTGCCCCATGGCTGAGGTGGCTTCCCGCTGCCTTGGAGCTGTGAGTCCCAGTTGAGAGCTTCCACACCGTGGAACCCTTTGTGGATGAGAACTTGTTCCAGATGACCCAGGGCATCTCAACCGATTCCAGATTTGCTTTGCTCGGTTTGTCTTTATTGCTGAGTTTTAGGACATTCCTTGGGAGTCCCGACCTGCCACTCCCATCGTTAAGAACAGATGTGTTTGGGGAACTCTCTCAGAGGCTCAAAAAAATTTGTTCTCATTCTTGGTCCTGTTCGGTTGCCATAGCGACCTCCCGAGGGAGTGGATTTTCACATGAGGACCTTGAGATCCCTAAAGGACCTAGAAGTCCCGTTCCCCTGAGGGTGCACCTCTCAGTCGCTGGTCTGGGTGCCCTGGGATTTCAAGCCCGCTCCTCCCACCCCGCCCACTCTTCCCTGAGCCTTCAGTGATTGTCTGCCTTGGTGCACGTGGCTTTTCTGACTCTCTCTCCATAAAGGAGACTATTGTTGGCTTCCAGTTGCTTTAAAAAAAAAAAAAAAAAGCACAGGAACTACTCACCACAAAAATGGGAGGCGGAGCTCTGCGCCATATCCCAGCCTGCCACGCACCATAAGGAAATGAAGGAAAATGCAGGTTTCTATCTCTTGGTGACACAGTGACAGAAGCTTGCTGAGGAGCTGTGAGCCCCATGTTTAGGAGGCAGAAGTCACGGACTCCTTGTGTGAGAGCCTGGTGCTTTTCCCAGGTTATCTTGTGATGTTGGGCGTGGGAAGGACCGGACGGGCTGGGGTATTAATGCAGATGTGTTCCCACCGCTGGCGAATACACAGTACCTGTGTCAACTATTGGTCCTCACCATCAGCCTTGTCACCAAAAAGAAGCCAGTCACAGAGCCATCACAATACCCAAACCCCCTTTGATTCTTAAAAACTCAGTATGTATTTGGTGCCCAGGTCATTTTTGGTGATCACCGTGGTGTCACATTCATGTCTTAAGATGTAATAGACTTTGAAGACTCCCCGTGGAAAGCTTCACCCTCCCTGGGGAGCAGAAAGGGGATGGGATAGGGGTTGACGGTGGGGACAGGGGAGGACGGGAAGGTTTGGGAATTGCGAGTGACATGTAAAACAAGCTTGTTTCAAATTTAAATTTTTAAAAATTAGTTTAAAAAAAAGATCTGTACAAGAGATAGATACAAAGGAAATATTAAACTTTGTTAGGAGTATGTTTTTTCCTGCCAGCCTGGACCCACCACAGCGCCAGCCCCAATTAACACACAGAGACTCTGTATTAGATGTAATGCTATTGGCCAGTTACTTGTTATGGGCTAGCTCTGTCTTAAGTATTAACCCATTTCTATTAATCTAAGTATTTCCACGTGGTCTCATCTTACCGGAGAGTGGGCCCGGACCTCTGTTCTCTCCAGTCTCTCTATGCTGACTCCTCCTTACTACTTCCTCTCTCCTCCTTGTCTCCTAGTCCCGCCTGTCTTGTTTCCTATTGGCCAACAGTGCTTTATTCATTAACCAGTATGAGAAACATATTTACATAATGGCATCTCCCATCTCATTCAGTCGTGTGCACCCAGATGGTAGGTAGACCTGACCACTTGTCCACTCCCACAAATGCAGGCTGAGCATCTTTATATGAAAATCTCAGGTGCCCTCAGATCACCTTGAGCATCCACATACTATACCCCAACCTCATGTGACATCTTCATCAAAAAATGTATATGCACTGTGGACATCATATAAAGTGAGTTTCAGGCTATTGTCTATGCAGGGTGCACCATTTTCGTGTGTAGACTTGATTATCTTCCAAGATATCTCATGGTAATAATTCTTTAAAAATTTCCAAGCATTTCAATATTTCTTGATTTACCTGAAGCTTCAGTAATTAAAAAAAAAAAAAACTCTATTTTTTCTTTTTTAGTTTATGGTGTCAAGTGCCCTAATCTTTGTCTTTAAATTATCAGTTAGGAGTATGGCTACTGATATGTAGTTGACTCAGTGACATGATGCACACACACACACAATACGGGCTTGCTTCCCAAAGGAAGGAATAATGTTTTCTAATTATCTTTGCTATTTGTATTGACTCTTACAACAGACTTGTTCTCTTTTCAAAGGGTACATTCTACTTAATTAAAAATATATTTCAAAGATCTAATTTAGTCTTACTACTAAGAAAATGCTGAGAAGCCAAAGACATGGAAATGAATCTTCTTTGGTTTTTTATTGAAAATAGATTCTTCTCTCACACATCTCAACAATTTCCCTCCCTCCACTCCTCCCAGCTCGTCCCCCCAACCTCTCCTCTCTCCCAGATCCACTCCAAAAAGGAGCAGGCCTCCAAAAGACCACAACTAAACACGGCAAAGTAAGATACAATAAGATGAAGCAAAAACCCTCATATCAAAAACAAAAACCACAAACAAACAAAAAACCCTCATATCAAGGCTGGACAAGGCAACCCAATAGGAGGAAAAAGTCCTAAGAGCGGGCAAAAGAGTCAGAGACACATCCGCTTGCTCACACGATTAGTAGTCCCACTAAAACACCACGCTAATAGCCATAACATAAATGGGAAGGGCCTTGTACAGATCCCTGCAGGCTCCACGATTGCTGCTCCATTCAGTCTCTGTAAGGTTCCATGAGTCCCACTTAATCGATTCAGTGGGTCATGTCTGTCCTCCCTCCCCTCTGACTCCAAAAGTCCACACGTCGCCTGGCCATGGGTCTCTGCACCCACTCCCGTCTACTGCTGCCGGAGGAAGCCTCTCTCATCATGACTGAATAAGGCACCAATCTATTAGGAATCATTTTATTGGTTTCTTTTTCTGCCCAGTTGTGTTTGTTTCTACCCTAGGTCTCTGAACTGTCCAGCCTCCCCAGTTCCTGGCCATCCAGGCAGTGCAGGTCATGGGCTCCCTCTCATGGACTGGGCCTCAAGTTAAACTCAGCCATTGATTGGCCACTCAAACAAGTTCCATACTACCATGGCCCCAGTACAGCTTGCAGACAGGACAGAGTGTGGGTCAAAGGTTTTGTGGTCACTGGGTTGGTGTCTGGGTACCTTGGTGCACCAAAGAGGCTAGGATGTAGGGGTGAAGGCTCCTTGCAGGCACCAGCCCCAACCTCTCTGCGTTCAGTGAGCTGTATGGATGCTGTCCTCCGATACTGTTGGAGTTTGGAGAACAACTCTGTTCTAGCATTAGCCTGCATTGTTTGGGGGATCTCCATGGGAGGACATGAATCTTCTAAGTTCTGTCTTTCAAATAGCTTATGAGAGTTGAAGGGAAATCATCTGGATTCTTCTGCTTTGTCAAACTTTACTGCCACACCGTAGAGCAGTGGTTCTCAGCCTTCCTAGTGCTTCAACCCTCAATTAACACAGTCCTTGTGCTGTGTTGACCCCTCCCCCACCACCACCAACCATAAAAATCACCTGGCTGCCACTTCGTCACTGTAATTTTGCTACGGTTGTGAATCATAATGCCATATCTGATGTGCAGGATACCTATCTGACCTGTGGCCCCTCTGAAAGGGTCTTTTGACCCCTAAAGGGTCGTGACCCACGGGCTGAGAAGAACATTCCACGTGTCACAATCCGCCTAAGTTTGTCTAAGGAATACATTACAGTCTTTAGAAGGTGAAATTGCAACCCGAGAGCAGAGCATGGTGTAATGGGTTTTCTTTCACTTTTGTTATTTTCAATGCTGAGAATCAAACTCAGGGCTTCACACATGCTGGGCAAGTGCTCTATCACCCAGGTACCTCCCCAGCCCTGGGTGATTTTTTTTTAAAAGCTCCTGGTGTTGAAAGTTGCCCTGGTAAGTGCCTGCAGGATTCTGACTCCAGTTCTAGGGACAATCCCTGATGGAATTCTATCTCAGTGACTCGAAGGCGCCCCCTTTCCCAGAAATGAAGCCTGTGCTCTGGACATGACTGCCACAGCTGAGCTCATCAGATTGCTTCTTGGCCAGGCTCCCCCATGTGGCAGAGGGAAACCTAGGGGTTGGGGGGAGAGAGAGGAGCCCGGGTGATCCCATCTGCCCTGGCCTGACCCTGGTCAAGGCTGTTTTCTCCTTCAGAAAGTACTTTGTTTATTCAGAAGATGCTCTATTGCCTTTTCATTTTTAATAGCTGGAGCTTTTCTTATTTTTCCATCTCCACAGTCCCATGTCATAAAATTGTCCCCATCAGTCCCATCCTTCAATTTGGCAAGCCTGGATGGTCAGTTGTGCCAATCAAAAAAAAAAAAAAAAAAAAAAAGAGTATTGTTTGTTCTTAGCATCTCCTCAGCAAAACTGAAAGGGTGCCACCTTGGCTGAACTGAGCAGGTCGTCCCCTGGGAGACTGTGTGCACCAAGACACTCCCTGCCTGCCTGCCTGCCACACACCCACAGACTCAGTGCCGGCCCGAATCCAGGGTCTCAGCATCCTGAAGTCTCATGCTTTAGCCATTTGCCAAAAACCTCGGCCTGCCCTTGGCCCAAAGTCCTATGGCGCTTCTTAGCACACAGCCGAGAAGGCTTCTAGCTGAAGGGGCCAAAGAAGGGCGGGGCCTTGCTGTAGTGGGTGGTTTGGAAAAAGATGGAAAAGGATGCTGGACTCTGTGTGACTTGTAGAGGTGATGAGGTCACGTCCTCTTTACGCCAGTGTAAGACTGGCAGTGTGGGATGAGCATAGGCCTCTCAGCCCTGCCTGCAGTGTGACAAGCCCCTTCTGGCTACAAACAAAAAGGGGGACCCAGCTGTGTTTTCAGGGCATAACCATCGCCCCTGGTGTCACCTGCTCTAACGAATGTCCTTACAGAGACATAACCACTAAGACCATTTGTTTGAGCTGGGGCTGTATCTCTCTTGGTAGAGTGCTTGCCTAACAGGTGTGAAGGCCCAGGTTTGATCCCTAGCATTTCATAAGCTCCCACTGGTAGTTGGCAGGTGGGAGTGGGAAGTTCAAGGTCATCCTTAGCTATATATAGTTTG